ACTCGAAATGGAAGTAAGCTCAACAATTATGAAACAATAGATTCCTCGAAACCCAACTTTTCTTAGTAGATAGAATCACCATCGGTCAAAACGGTTACGTCGCTTAACCAGTTAAGCTTCTGCTGTCTGCGAAGCGAAAATGCTAGTAATGACCAAACAAGAAGTATTCGTGCGCAGAGTCACATAGCAAGAATGTGCTTTTATCAAGTAAATATTCTTCCCAATTATGAATAGATCTTGAATTCAATAGAAACGTCAGCTACACTAATATCAATGTGGGAAAAATCAATGACTACTACCTTAAACGAAATAGTGTAGTATCGAAAAACTACTCACTTATGAAAAAGTAGTGTCATCGATTGCCATAGCAAATAAAAGTTTGCCTTATCGACAACCCCAACAAGAATGTTATATGGAAAATGCACATCTTCCAGGTGACCCTAGGGCACGCATGGCCATATGGCGGAGTGTTTAACGTGCCGAGATTACACACTGCACTGCCATGGTTCGAGTCCTGCTGGGGGTGTTGATAAAAGTTATGCAAGGTTGAAACTGTAGTCCATTCCTTCGTTGATGAGAACACCATTCGGGAGAGAAAAGCTATGCGAAACTCAATGGAAAACATCAGCTCTACTCATGTCATTGTGGGAAAAATCAACTACCACCCTTACATCACCTTGCACGAAGTAGGGTGAAGACAACTCATATTTCTGATGTAAGGACGACTAGTTGGATTGTGTCCCAATGAAATCACCAGGCTTTGTCCGTTCGTTTGTTCGAGGCCGATCGGAAGCCCCTCCTCGAAAAGAATCCGAGGCACTCTTTGTCGTGGTCCTCTCTGCTCGCCTGTTTGCGTGGAACTCAGCGCCTCAAAAATCTCTTCACCTGCTGCTTAGGAAAGTGGAACTTGCTCTTCTGCCATCGCCGCCCCGAAGCGCATGATCATCTCAGGTGCACGGTTAGTAGACAGGAGATCTGGAGTCGTTTTTCAACCGATGCTCAACATGTTGAGATGGACCGTCATTAGCCAAAGCGCTTTATGCGCGTGTGCATGTGATGGCTAGGGCACTTGTACGGCTACAGTCAAGTCTCATGTGTGCATGCGATCACACACTAATGAGCACTTTAATATGTGTGCCCATGTATCCAGATGTACGTTTGTAGTAGCGTGTGTGTGTGTGTGTGCGTATGTGTGCATTTATGCCGAAATCTGTGTAGGCCTGTATGTAGGTGCGTGGTTGAGGGTTGGGTCTCCAGCGGAGGCGATAGCGCCTCTACACCCCTCGGCGTTCTGTAAGTGCACAAACTAGGGAGGAATATTATTTTTCAACCAATCTGCTTTTCCTTCAAGGCACCGACTACAACCGACCCACAAGCACCATAGGAAATCGATCCCTCCCTCGAGGTGCAATAGTGCCCGGTTGGGGAGAAGAAGCTCGACCAATGGCGGTCAACCGACTCGATGGTACGACGACACGGATTGTCGGAGGGTGGGCGAGCGTGAATGTAGTGCTACGATTGTACGTTACTCCACTTGCTGGCCAGCCTTCGTTGGTCGTTAGTCGAGCTTCTCCGATGCCATCACCGTGTTGGCCAATACATCTCGTTGCTAAGCCCAATTTGTCCGTATTCATGATGAGTATGATGATGATGATTATGATTATGCCAGCGGCTGCAGCTTGATAGATGCTATCATTCATACGATGCATGCTTCGTAAGCAATCTCTGTATCCTCCTTTCAAACTTGAACTGAAAGAATGCAAGTTGGGCGTATGTTGAAGTACATCGGGCACCGGTGAGAGAATGCTGTAGGCACCTTGGATCGTAGTTAGCCTCACTTGTTCTTTACCGTGTGCCTGTAGCACTCTATCGATCTCAGGCTCATCTTGAGCTTTGGGTAGATATCACATACAAATTAGTTAACTAATTTAATGTGAATATTTTTGGCTTTTTTTGCATCATTTGACTATCCACTTAAATGAGAACTCAGCACTTCAACGACTTTTATTGGCCTCACTTCACCAAGCATATTCACAACATGAACACTTACATTTGCACGTTTGAACCCTTGGGTTCACTTATGCTGGAGGGTTACTGTAATTACGCCTCTATTGTTTTGTATATAATTTCTTTCCGTAGTCATGGTATTTCTTTTCACCTCTCGCCTTGTAAACTAGCGGATTTACATCTTCTTATCCATCCATCAATTTATCTACCCATTCGTCTGGCCGATGGGCCGAGTCCCTCTTTTTTGACTTTTTCTTTTTTTCTATCTTTCAACCTTTCCTCCTATCCTTCTATCACTTTGACTACCTATCTATCCATTTATCCACTTGCACTCCGTTTCAACCTTCCCTGATAACCTTATTCCATAGCCTCGTTATTTTCTTCCCACTTGTATTCTTTCCATCTTTATGTCGATCTTTATATCCGTCAATGTATCCATATTTCCCATTTGGTGGTTTATTTCCCCTATTTCTTCCTTCTGTGTTTTATTTCTTAATTTACTTCTTCTCCTTCTATCTTTTCGCTTTCACTCTCACAAAATATGGCTATATAGAGGAAAATAAGGAGGGTAGATGTATACACCTACATTAATTCTAGCATAATTACACACTTTTAGATGCGCATCTTCCTTTTTTTGCCAAAAATACACATTTTGCAGAGCACGCATCTAATTGCTTAAGTAATGCATCTTATCATATCGAGTCAGGCCATTTAGGATGGGAGCCTATTTTCTGCATTGGCAAACCTGCATATTCTAAACTATTTGGCTAATTCATTTAGTGACTTGCGAAAACGTTTACCTCTTCCCACCCTCTGCAGTGTCAATAGTTGGCTGTGGAGTAAGCCAGAAGCCTTTGTTGCCTTGACAATTATGCTCATCGAATCAGCAAATTGGGCTGGGTTTGTGTCTCTGAAAGGGTAGTATAAGGGTCTCTGGTCCATTGCCCATCCATTGCTCCACAATTTTACTGTTTGCACCAGGTCAGAGTTGGTCCCCTTTGTCAAGCGGACCGGTTCGCAAAGGTGAAAATCCGGGTTGGTCGTATCTTTGCATACTCATGGTTTAGTCGATCCAGATCATATAGTCCGTTGAGAATCGCGCAACAGCATTGATCGAATAAAGTGTATATCAGTGTCAAGTTGACTTTGGATTCGGGTGAAAGTGTGCGATGAAGAGATTCGATGCTAGAACCCATCCGAAAACGGGGTCTGGTTCCATTCAGTCTTCCGTCGTTTGGCCTGACCAGCACGTTCGGGTTAACCAAGTCCT